AGCCCAGCTCCAGGTTGAGCTGTTGTTCAGCATCTTAGCTGTGGAGGGCAGTGTCACTGGCCCTCATATGTGGGATCTGAACCAGGGTCCTCTGGTATCCAAAGCCAATTCTTAACCATCACGCCACTCGGCCAGCCCACGCCCATACATTCTTAACCCATCTACTTCTCTCTCTAGTTCAAGTCCTCTCAGCTTTTTCACCAAAAATTACTACACCACCAACTGGTCTCCCTAAATTCACACTGATCTCCAATCCACTGTTCACAATGAAGTTACAGTACTATATTTAAAATCATGTATGATCACGTACTTCTTTGTTTAATATCCTTTAAGGATTCCCCATCCCACAGGACAAATTTGAAACGCCTTAAAAAGGCTTGTAAGGCCATGTAGGATTTGGTCTCTGATTACCTTCCCAAATTTATAGAATATTCGCTTCCCAATTGTCCAGGGTTTGTCTTATCTCTATGTATTTGCTGATGCTGTTCTAACTGCCTGAAACACTTTCCTGGCCAATTATTTCCTCAGGTCTCAGCTTAGATGTTTGTATTAGATGTTCCCACATCATTCTGCACTTGCCCATCACAGTATTTGTCATACATTATTATTAATCGCCTGTTTACTTGTTTGTAACTCCCACTAGACTGTAAGCTCCATGACAGCAAGATAGATGACTGTCTTGTTCAAGCTATAGCCCCAGGGCCCAGTACAGTGCCCAAAACAAAGAAGGCATTTAAAAACTTTATCAAATGAATAAAGTATGTTCTCATCACCGGAAATGTTTCACAGCACAAGCGAAAATATCTCAGTGACAGACATCTGGGGTCTTTCCTTGTTTATACAGATTACTGCTATAAGTCCTTGGAATTGGCTGTTGTTCTGATTCACAGTTTCCCTCCACAAATGGCCAAAAAATTAACTTAGGGTAATAAGCAACCTTAAAGGTGCCATCTATGCAACTATATTAATCCTTTTTTACTTTTACTGAGTGATTGCTACATGCCAACCACTATGCCAAAATCTGAGAATATAATGTGAAAAAAAATAGACATGAAAAAGCACATTAAGATACCACTTCATGGGGCTGGCCGGGTGGCTCAGTTGGTTAAGAGTTGGCTTAAGAGCGCGAGCTCTGAGTAACAGGGCCGCCGGTTCAATTCCCACATGGGCCAGTGACACTGCGCCCGAGCTGAGCTGCCAACAGGCGGCAGGATGGCTCAGCTGGTGAGAACACTTGCTCCTAACAACAAGACTGCTTGTTCGATGGTGGGCTACACCTGCCCGCAACTAAGACTGAACTCGGCACCATGAGCTGAGCTGCCACCAGATGGCTCGGTGGATAGAGTGTGCGCTCTTAAACAACAAGGCTGCTGGTTCAACTCCTGCATGGGATGATGGCTATGCCCACCCGCAACTAAGATTGAACACAGCACCTTGAGCTTAGAGGCCACGAGCTGCCAATAGGCAGTCAGATGGCGACTGGTGCCCTCCATAACTAAGACTGAAGAACAACAAGTTGGCTGGTCCCCTTCCCCAATTCCCCAACACTGTTCCCCTTCTCCAATTCCCCAATTAAAAGAAAAAAAGTATGGGCCGCCCGAGTGGCTCAGCTGGTTAAGAGCTCACTTGGGAGTGCCAGCTCTGAGCAGCAGGTCTGTGGCTCGGATCCCACATTGAAGGCCAGTGATGCTGCCCTCTACAGCTAAGATGCTGAACAACAGCTTGACCTGGAGCTGGGCTGCTGTGAGTCGCTGGCGACAGCATAGGCTGCAGCAGATGCCGTGAGCTACGTGAGTGGTTGGCAACCAGCATGAGTGGCCAGCAGCCGGTGTGAGCTGCACTATGAGCAGCCGACCAATGACCGGTGACCAATTGCCTCTCCTGGGAAGAGCGCAATGATCATACCAACATGGGGCAGTGAAGCGACATCCTCCACTAGACTGAAGAACAAAAACAGCAATTTGTCTACCTGTCTGTTCCCCTTCACCGATTCCCCAACGCTCTTCCCCGCCCCCCAATTACCCAATTAAAAAAAAAATCTTAAAAAAAAAAAGAAAACCTTGCCTAACCCAAGCTCACAAAGATTAAAAAGAAAAAAAGTTATGTTGTTTAAAAAAAAAAAGATACCACTTCACACATTCTGCTTACCACACATCCATAACCCCCCTCCTCAGTGCTCTCAACATGGGGCAGAAAGATCAATCCATTTGATACCCTAATATTCTCATTCTTTTCAACAACTAACACTATGACTATGTGAGGAATTTTGTTAACTGAGAAGCAGTCTCTGAATCCCAACTATTAAAATTCTATGTTTTGACGACATTCTCTGTGGTCTTCCACCATCACATTAAGACCTCCATAAACATAGTATTTCTATTTGTTTAGGTCTTCCTTCACTTCTCTCATCAATGTTTAGAAATTTTCAGTGATAGGTCTTGTTCAGCTTCTGTCAGATTTTCCTAAATATTTCATTTTTTTTATACTATTGTAATGGTATTTTAAATTTCAATATCTGATTGTTACATGGAATTAATTTTGGTATATTGATCTTGTCTCCTACAACCTTGATAAACTTACGGAGTAGTTCTGTTAACTTTGTTGTAGATTCCATAGAATTTTCTACAGATAGTTATGTCATCTCTGAATAAAGACAGTTTTACTTCTCCAAAAAGAAAGATACCACTTCACACCCATTAGAATAGCTATAATCAAAAAGACAATAACAGGGCCAGTCGAGGGGCTCAGTTGGTTAAGAGCTCGCTCATGAGTTTGAGC